AGTAGTCCCACTTTTTTATGGGTCTGCAGAAGGCTTACAGGACTTCCAGGTGACAGAAAAGGCAACAGATATGATGTGAGAGTCTTTCCTTCTTTCTTTAGTGATGAACTAGTATTGCAAATTTGTGATATTTAATGTTTTGTTTCTTATGGTTCCTGTGCATTGCCAACAGACTGGGCATTTTTCTTTCCAACATTACATATCCAGGACCATGATAACTACTTTGTCATGTTGTCTGTGTTTTGTACAGTTTCTGATGCCCCTTGTGTTCAGAGATGTTTCTTGGGGATTAGGTCTGTTTGTCCTATAGTCCAAAATTGTGTTCATAGTCAATTCTAATTTAAGATTGTCTTCTTTGCTATAGTGCATATACACAACAGAGTTCTCAGTCTTGCATGTAAGAGTCACTTTTTCTGTTTCTTGGCTGTGAATGAAAACATATATTCCTCTAAGTATCATTTGTCTTTGGTACTCAAATCCATATATCAACTGCTATGGTGTTTTGGTATTTAAATCTGGCCACAAAATCTCCCTGTTGCTTTATAATATTTTGCTTCTCTTCTGTCCATTGTGAAATGTAATGAACAGGGAGACAAAAGGATGGGGGATTTTTTTTGTTTGATTGTTAGGTGTGGGTGTGTTTTTGTTTTTTTTTCTTTTTTGAATGAAGAAAATAGTGGCAGCAAGTGGGTTTTTTTGTTTGGGTTTTGTTGTTTTATTTTTTACAGCTGCCAGCAGTAGGTTCTCACCAATGGCTTGCAGCAGAGGATCTTTATCCTGATATCTCTTTTAAAGGAGTGTATATATGCACAAATATCTGTTTAGGGTTGTCTTTGACCCTGTTTAAGTATAGAAGACCAAATGAGGAGAAGAAAGCCTAAGTTCTGCAAGGTTAGCCATAAGTAGATAAAGAGAAAAACTCGTGCTCTTCACTTCTACCGTCAATGGCAATGAGCATTGAAGTTGGGAATTAGATTTATTTAGAAAGAAAATATTTATTTCTTCCTCACATGTAGCTTTCCTATTTCACTCTTTATGGTCTCCAGCTCAGTGTTTAGAGAGTGGTCAAGAGACTTGGAACCAAGAAGAGCTTTGGGTCTCCTATGCAAACTGGTCTCTTATTCTCTGGATGGAATTAACTCTACCATTCTCTTAAAGTGAATTAGCCAAAGCCTCAGGAAGTATATACAGAATATGTGTCAATCTTATGTGTACTGTATCTGGGCTGTTTCTCTGTGTAGTGGAGAAAGTCCTAGAAATTTCTACAAATAGTAGAGCTGGAAGCATTTTTTCAAAATGGCTCTTTATATCCTGCAGAAACCTTCATAAATGAATTAGGATTCAATGTGCTCTGCCAACAGTAACCATAATAAAGGTTATTTGGCCTGTTTTGAGATACATGAAAATTTGATAGGTTATCTGCAAAAATTCGTTGTGGAATATTACTCTGGATTTTCTGTTTCACCCTCAGTTTCTCAGCATACATGTGATACACTTCAGGTAACGTTATTGCCAGTTACATTAGTGCTTGTTCACTGCAATTTTAGTGAACAATATAACTAAATTGCCCTTCTTTGTTTAGAGGCAGAAGTGTATTAAGGGTTGGTCTAGACCCAGAAGTGAGGCTGTTGGTCAGATATTTTAACTTTTAAATAAAATACTGGGTAATGTTTCAACAATTAAACAATGAAACCTATTAACCAAAAATTACTCTTGGCTATGGTTTCCTTTTCTCTTTTGCTGTGCAAAGAATATAGTGTTGCCTTTTACATTGAAGTCAATATGCACATGAAGTGAATGTTGTGTCTTTTAAGATTCAGCACAGCCTCCATGTGTCTAAAGGAGATGCTTTTCCATGAACAAATAGGGGGAAGATTCATAATATAAGGTGTTTTCTGATAGTTGTTAGGATTTTTCCTATATTTTTACAAAGAAATATATATTCTGACATTAACATAGTCCCATATGTAGTCTGAAATGTTGTTTGCCTGGGTTTTTTACCATAGTGAGCATGTAACTTTTAATATAATTTGGTAGGAGCTAGCAGATGAATTAGAGGCATCTAATCTAAATTTCTAGTTTGTTGTTTACATTATTTTGAACAAAACCTGTAGCAATGTAATAACCTTGTAAAACAAAAGGTGGGATTTCATGGAGTGGGAGGACAGTTGCAGGAAAAGGAAAGAAGTGTGATACTAAATGTTTCTTCAGATGGGGATATGCATGTGGAATAGAAGCTCATGGTAATTGTCGGTATATTCCCTTATGCACGGTATTTTGCCTGTGATTTTTGAAAGGATCAATCACTTGCAGCAATTTATGTAATAACTTTCTGGTGGGTGATTCTAGTACTTTATTTATGCTTTTTGCCTGGTTCACCAAAACGCAATACCTTTGCTCCTTTGTACAGTAAATGCACTCTGTAATATCTATTATGGTGTGGTCAAAGGATAATTTATTGTCAGATAGAAAAATAGGTCAACACTAATGTCGCTTGATGATCAACCCCCCAAGTTTAATAAAACACCTCACCAGCACGCATTCAGCACAGTGCTTGATGTTTTATTAGGACTACAGTACCTTACAGTACCTAGCGATAGCAGGAGTGTAATTACTGAGCTGTCAGGGTGATAAGTGGGATTAATGGCAGCCTGGTGCACTTTAGTCTGCAGAGTGCTTGGAAGATGGTATTATTATAAGAGAAAGTCTGGACTGGCATATTCATGGTACCCTCCCCTCCTCCCCAAAGCTCACATTCAAGTTTGTGTTACCCACCCCCACCATAGCTGACATTTTCAACAGCTGTTATTTGTGAACCAGATCAAAAATCAAAAGAGAAATTTGGTAAAGGTGTTTGCTAGCCACAGCGGGTAATCTGTACACTGCTTATCCTACCAGGTGCCATTCTAGTCAGTTTTGACATGAGATTGTTCTATATATATTGGTTTATATATGTGTGTGTATATACATATATATATACATATATTAAAAAACCCCACAGAAATGTATTTTCTGTTCAGTGCAGTTCTTTTAGTGTTATATACAGGACTGTTGTATTTTAAAGAAAACCACATTCAGGAAAGTGAAGAGTAAAAGGTTGTAATGGAATTGTTCCCTTTTTTAATCACACGATTTTTGACTTCTATTATTTCTTTGCTGCCTACACAGGCAAACTGCTCATCTGGGCCTGCATAGTAGTGGTATTTTGTCTAGCTTTTTTTTTGCTTTTTTTTCAGTCTGCCTAGAATGCTGAAAGCATCCTCTTGACTCAGTGCTCTGCTCGCAACTGTCCTGCCTTTGCTTGTTAAGGCATTTATAACATGTACCTGTCAGTGAGTAGTGCTGGGCAGTGGTGTGTTTAACTGCCACAGCTAAACCTGCTGATGCTCTTGTGTCAGAGCCCTCTGACATCCTGACTAGTTGAACTAGTAACCCACTATGGTGTTGAACCTGGATTTGGCTTAATCAGATTTCCCAGCTTTTGCTGCCTGTGAGACTGTTTTCCTTTAAATATATCCTCTGGGGCCTTTTCCCCATGACTAGTCTTGTGAGAAAATCCAAACAGCCAGTGCCACATGTGCCTTCAAATTCTGCTGGTGCCATGGTGTCTGCAATACTCAACTAGATGATAATGAATAATAAGATGAAAAGCTAATTAATCTTTTACTTAACTAGATTTGCCTTCTTTCATATTCCACCCCTAACTGTAAAAATGGCAACAAAAAACTCCCAATCCATGGGATTGACAAAGTCAGGCTAGTGTTTCACTGCAGGTATTTCAGGCCTTTCATTCTTTTTAATATCATCTTCCTTTCTTTGTGCACATAGTCCATCAGGCTCTTACAGCTTTCCTGTGTTCGAAAATACTCTATCCCAGCCAGTTCCACAGTGTTATTGTCTATCACTGAAAAGCAATAATTAAGGTAGACTTGTGGAACTTATGTAAGTAGCTGGGCTCAAATAATATGTAAAGAAGCAAATATTATTTAATTTGCCATAGATTGTTAAACCCACAATTTATATAAATTCAGTATGTTAGTAAAGCAATATTGAAAGAACATCTGGGATAATGTAATGAATTCTGAGATAAATAGTAAGGCATTTAACCTATTTTAATCATTGATCTATAAAACCAAAGCTATGTACAAGTATGTTTGTGTTTAATAGAGAATTATTCTGCTTTGGCTTTTACCTCCTTTTTTTTTAAGGTTTGCTTACTGTAAGTTACGTAGACTACCCTGAGAGCTTAATCCTTACATGTGACTTGTGCAGGCAACCAGATCTGTACATCCACATGGAATACTATGCAGGAACATGCAATCAATCTTTATTACTTAGTGTGTTTTAATATACAGTTAGGTTTTGTCATTAGAAATAACAAGAAGGTGGTCTCAGGGGTTTCAGTTGTGAGTATGCATAAGACTACTGAATTGTCTTCATAGGTCACAGACTTATTGCAGGAAATTCATAGAAAAGTGACTTGAAAATTTATCAGCCATTCATATTCTTTGGACATACAGTACAAAGTAATTCCATCCTCTGTGGAAATACACTTGGTTTTGTATGTCTGATTGTCCAGTATTCAGAATTTACAAAGACTTCCAGGACTTGGTTAGTAAATTCAGATTCACAGCACAGATGGTTTTTTTAAATGGAAAAATGAAATGATCAGAAGTTTAGCAATCTTGGATTTCAGGGAAAAAGAACTTGCCCCTGTGTAATTTGACATTGTTGCCTAGTACTTAGAGATGTGTAGTCCATATATTTGTAATTGCACCCTCTGCCTTCCTTTGTAAAGTGGAGTCAAGAGAACACAATTCATCTGTGTTGATATAAGTCAATAATGATCATATAGTGCTTTGAGGCTTTAAATAGAAATTTTATGAAAATGTTCTGTATTATTGTGGCTTATCTTCTAACATGCTAACTTGAAAAACATTATGCTATTGGCCTCATTTGTATTCTGCATCACCTTGACACGTTTTCTTTTATTCCTGTAGATGCTTAAAGTGTGCAGATGCCCCCTGTCAGAAGAGTTGCCCAACTAATCTGGACATCAAGTCATTCATCACAAGTATTGCAAACAAGGTAAAGTCAGGCTCGCTGTAGTACATGGAAGGAGATGACAGCAGTTACTTGCAGTTCTGTGTATGGGATTGCATTTCAAAGTTTATCTTTGTAAAGTCTTAAAGAAAAGTGTTTAGAACAGGTGTTTTGAAGGTTGAGTCAGCTGGTTTTTAGTTATTTCTGCTTCTGTTCTGTGTCTGTACAGACAATGTATAGTGCAGATCTATTTCTTCATTTCACTTTTTCTATAAAGCTTTTGGGTTTGATGGGTTTGAAATAGGATATTCAAAGGCCTGAGCATTTTAATGTCATTATTTAACCTTTATGCTACCTGAGATATTACAAATCATTAAGGGTGAAGTTTTTTTGTGATTTTATTGTATTTTAAGAAGAGATTATAGTTTAAATCTCCTTTGGGCAGAAATTTGGCATGAAGGTGGTCATATGAAGGAATTTTTTCTTGTACTTTATAGTAAGAGGCTGTGGTTAATGCAAATGTAGTCACTCACTAGGATATTAATAACATACTACAGGAGTGAATGGAACCCCCTCTTTGGAGGTACTGTACCTTTTCCTTTCTTAATGGGCTACTGTACTATGGTCATAATGAAATCTTAAAAACATTATTCTGAATTGTGGTTTACAAATGACTTTAATGGTCAGAAATAGAAAGAAATAAGTAGATAAATAACGATAACTGCAAAGTTGATGTGACAAGATTAATTAGGCTGTCTGGAATAGCCTAAAGATGACTGTATATTGATTGCCCCATACCTTTTAAAACTTACTTCCCATCTGTGGATTCATTAGCTGCCATGTGATTTATTTGTCTGTATGAGCCCAACTAGACTCATAATCTACCAAGGGTGCTACAAAGATTTTCTGCTTGCCTTTTATGCTCTGTCTCACTGTTAGATGCAGCTGAAAGGACCAACGCAGGTAAAACTGGAGTGCTGAGAGCAACAGCAGCACTTCCATGTGCAAGTGAACAACCACATTCCTTTTTTCACTCTGTGTGGTACAGAGAAGACGCCAGTAAATTCTGCACCTTAACAAGAAACATTAGGATAAGAGGAGATATTAAGATGCATGTATCAATTATAACATAACTACGTGTTGATGTGGTTTGCAGTAACTGGCATTATGCCCAGTATATGCATATAGACAGTTTTCTTATGTAATCTGTACCCTGTCACTGCTGCATTTATTTTCATGAATGTAGGCATCTGTTTGCAACCACAGTATAGTATGTGGCATATTGCTGCTTATTACCTCTTCAGGCATCGTGAAGCAGGCAAACTGAGCAGAGAAGGTACAAGGCAGTAATGAAACTGCTACTTTCCATTTCATCATTGTGCTGTAGTTTGTTTAGGAAACCTAAAGCAAATTTTATGAAAGTATTTTACCAGGATGGTCTTTTTTTATTAAGGATTTGTTCTGCTGCCGCTTTTAGTAGGATAATGTGGTATGTTGTTGAGGAAAGAAAGAGGGCCTGATTATCAAAACCAAAGCTGTGAATAAGCAACCAGGGAAGATGGACTGAAAACTGCAACAGAAGGTGTCAGAAGAGCTAATAGCAGCAGCATCCTGGTACAGTAAATTTGGTGGGTCGCTTAGACTGATAGCGTCTGAAATATGATGCTCCTTTGTGACTTGACAGAAAGAGTGAATCATTTTAACACCTGATTCGTTTCGTATTCTGTGATTCCGTTACAGAGCAGAGATGAGCAAGGTGGGGTGACTGCAGAGATTAGAGAGGTTTGAGAGTTGTGTGTTGGCAAAGGTAAACTGTAATAATATTAGTAAACTGCCTCAAAGCTTTGAAGTAAAAGTCTTTGCCCTGCTTAATCCAATGGGTACACTCTTAGTGATTTTAATAGGGCCAGATTTAACCTGTCAGATGGTCAATGAGGTGGATGAACCCTCTAGAGTTTGGGCTGTAAGAAGATGAGTTTCAAATCCTTTTGGAAGCTGCAGATGCTAGGTAAAGACACTGCTTTTGCCCTGAGGAGGTGACCTGATCACTTGGTGTTTTATCAGAAAATTCTGCTATAGGAAAGAATTTCAGTGTGCTACTATTCATTGTCTCAGGAAATTTAACTTTTTGTTTTTTAGTAGAAAAACCAAAGTATGTTAGATAACTGAAATGTAACTATAGCATGTCTTTTGGGACCCTGTCCCTATCTGTCAGTAGCTTCTGTATCCACTCTGAAACTAGTTCTTATAAAAGGTGTACAACAGCTTTTGGTACCTGCTTTTACCTCTGATGTATGGTAATTGTATAGGCAGTAGGAAACATTCATACACAGGAAATATTACGAAGTCAGATAGTTGTTTTCTGCCATTCAAGATGGTTAGTATGGGAAATTGCATGCCTAAAATCAGCACTGCTTCAGTGAAATCAAGTTTCAAGTGTGAGTTTGCATACAGTCTTACCCTCTGCTTTCTCTCCTTATGCTATTGAAAGAAATCTTATGTAGCATGGTTGTGGAAGCATTTCTCTGCAACAGCTCTAATGCTGACTTTAAAAACAAACAACCAGAAAGCTAACCCAAAAAAATAAACCCCCCAGAATTAGAAGGGATAAAGACACACACAGATATGCTGAACAATTAGTTGAATTCATGGGCTGAGAAACAAGGCTAGGAAATCTTGCATGTTTGTAGCCATCTTGTCAATGGCTGTGCCTCCTGTAGTTCGTGTGCCAAGCAGTTTAAGGAAATTAACAGTGCTTAGAGGGAACCCAACCTTGACGTTGGTGGCTGCTGTCTGCTAGGCCAAATTTTCCTTATGATATATTAGTTTTGATGGCTTTGCTAGAAAATATTTATCTTCTAACAAATTCTGTTCTGTAGAAAAAGTAGCTGAACTCTTCGAGTCTCCTTTATTGATGGATTTTTTTTTCTAGGTTTAGGTATGCACTGCTGTTTTTTCAGTACAGCATTTTGAAACTCCTTGCTCTCTGTCAGGCCAACAATAGATATAAGGTGGAAGTTGAGAAAGGGATGTTGAAAGTTGAAATGATTCACCAGAAGTCATGACCCTGGCGGTGTCTGTGTGAGACTCCACTACCATGGCTGCTCCTGTGGTGTCCTCTGCTCTCTTTCTTTCTGCTGCTGTGGTGGTTCAGGTACCTGCACCTTGTACTTTTAGAGAAGGCAGGCAACAAGAATGGTGTACTTTTGAAGGCTAGAACTTGTAATTTATAGTTTTGAAAGTTTGTGATGGAACCAATAGGTAATTTTTCGGTTTGCTATGTATTTTGCTAGACTTTTATTGACATAATCATTTTGATATCATTCAACAGTCTGAATATTCTGCTTGCTGAATATTTTTGTATTATTGTCACAGAAGTACTTTCTTAACATGATCAAGGATATTTTACGTGTTGTTGAAAATACTTTTCAAAATGATAAATCAGTTTTTGCAGCTCTCATCTTTTAAAATAAATTTCATTTTTTAAAATTTAAAATCTTATATATGGTATCTTCTAGACAAAAATAAATAGGTGAAACATAGAAAATGCAGGTGCTTGAGGTCAGTAAATTCAGGAAAGTGGGGTATGTTTTCTAGACTTATTGAAGTCCCTGTCCTGCTTCTGAATCTTTCTTTATCACTCACTTGAGAAAGTCACTTCAGCTGATTACTCTTCTACTTGTTGAGAGAAGATTCTGTTCAATAAATTCCTTGTCATTATCCTTGTGTAAGCTGTATTGCATGCAGGTATTTATTTAAACATTATTCATTATTAATATAGAGTATTTAGACAGCAACGTACTGAAAATGAATTACTTTGTCAGGTATTTAAGAGCTCTATTGTATGCAGTTTGTTTTGTTGGAAAATGGTTATAGCAATCATAAAAGGTCAGGGATTCTTGTTCTCTTAAGCCTGAGGCTTTTTAGATATTTACAGGCCATGTACAATGTAGCTGTTCTGGCTGTTCTGCCATTAGACCTGAGCTCAGGAGTAGAAGAGGGACAGGGGAGGAGTGTTGTTTCTGGGTTGAGAGGGTAATTGAATTGCCAGACTCAATGAGCCTTGAGCCTCTTTGAGAAAAAGGATGCCATTTATGCTGTATTGTGTTAGCTGCTGTGACTCAGTAGAGTTTAGGCCACAACTTCCATTCTCTTTTTCCATACAAACTGGATTACAACTCCACTTTATAAAGGTACAATCTATTCTATTGTGTCTTCCCAGTCTGTGTTTCTCAGTTCAGACAGACCACTTGCAATTGTGTATCTCAGAGACCAGACTTCAAATTCACTATGCACACATTGCTACTTTTGTTTCTAAACATCAGAAGACAGCAAACAAGTATTCTGACTTCCAGCTGTCCTCTCTTTAGATAGTGTTCACATTGCAAAATGTGTATTCTTTGTTTTATAATGCGCAAGTACCATCTTAGTTATTTCTTTCTTTAAAAAGAAGAGATACACTGTTTGAGTTCTTTGTAAACCCCAAACGTGTTCAGCTGCTGCGGCAGAAAGCTTTGCCCACTACCATGAACACGTACCAGAAGTGATTTTAGGATTTTATGTCATCCTTTTCCCGTGTTGCTTTGTCAAAGAAAGAAGGAATTGGTAAAATGGAGCTCTAGCACTTGTCATCCTTTAGGACTGGAACAAGCAAATGTTTTACAGCAACAGAAAATCCTACAGTTTCACAGAAACATCTCTCAGCCTGAGCACTTGCAGGCTGTCCAGCTTTCCTCCTGTTCAACACAGTCAAGTGCCAGGGAAGCAGGCCTTGAGAAAACAGTAACTCCTCACTTGCTCTACCGTTGAACTATTCAGTGAGACAGTTTTGGAGCTTTTTGTTATCAGACACCTTTATGGTTGAGTAAGTCATATTGAAAAACAACTGTTGGTGCACATGGGCATATTAACTTGTGTTACATGGCACAGGCATAAGAAGTGAATGACTCAGCCTTTATAGTCTGAGTCTATAATGAAAAACTGGGGGTGCATAAGTGTCTTTTCATGTTACTGTTACTCAAAGAACACACTGGTCACTGCAGCCC